TCTTGCCCTTCTTCCGCCCGGCTTCTTGCCCTTTTTCCTCCCGGCTTCTTGCCCTTCTTCCTCCCGGCTTCCTGCCCTTCTTCCGCCTGCCCCGAACAGCCCGTCTGGGAGGGATCTTCGTCCCTCTTCAATTTTGGGACTGGCAACTTCCCCTCCCGCCGGGACACGGACACAAGTGGGGATCCCCCAGGGGAGGGAGGGGGGTCCCTTCGCAAAGAGGGGCAGCACAGGGGGGTCCCAGGGGGGCAGGGACACCTCAGGGTCCCCCGGGGGGGGGTGGGGGTCACTGACTGGGGGCCTCGTGGCCGTGGTGAGGGGGGGGGACATGGTGGGGACCCCAACGTGGGGCAGAGACCACCCTGAGACAGCAGGGCAGGGGGACACGAGGGGGGACACACAGACAGGACTCACCTGTCCCCGCTGTCAGGGCTGTCCCCCACCCCCTCTACAGCCCCTCCCCAACCCCCGGGAGGAACGAGGCGGCCTCGGCTTCTCACGCGCTTTATTTAAAATAACATCCAGTGGTTCCGGTATTGGTAAAAACGGGATTTTCTACACGCCCCGGCCTATGTACAGCTCTGAAAGTTAAATTTCTCGTATATTTTTCTGTTAAAACTTTCTCATCCCCCCCCCACTCGCGCTTTTTCTTTTTGTGGTTTTTGTTTTGGTTTTTTTTTTTTTTTTTTTTTTTTTTTTTTTTTTTTTTTTTTTTTTTTTTTTTTTTTTTTTTTTTTTTTTTTTTTTTTTTTTTTTTTTTTTTTTTTTTTTTTTTTTTTTTTTTTTTTTTTTTTTTTTTTTTTTTTTTTTTTTTTTTTTTTTTTTTCCTTTTTTTTTTTCCTTTTTTTTTGCAGCTTTGATGAGTTGCGGAAGCAGCTTTTTTAAAGATCAGCCCCGGCCCACCCTGCGCCGGGGGCGGGGGGGGTGGGGGGGGGAAAGTGGGGAGGGGGCACCACCCCCATCAGCCCCCCCATCCCTGCACCCCGAGGGAGGGGTCAGACCCCCCGTCCTCCCTCAGGAGCAGGAGGGTCCCCCCCACCCCGCGCCGTGTTTGTGCGTTAAGAGATCCCGGCGCCCCCCGGGGTCCTCCCCCGGGTCTGGGGGGGGCAGGTGGGGACCCCGGGGGGGCCGCAGCTGGCGCAGGGGGGGGCCGGGGGTGTAATGCCCACTCGCTGCTTCGCTCTCCGAGGCCGCCCCTGCCTGGCAGGAGGTTCCAGACCGACCCCCTCCCCACACACACACACACACTCTCCTCGGAGAATTGGGTTTAAAAAAACCCCCCCCTTTCGCCCCTGCACCCCAAATCTCAGCCCAGCAGAGCACAAAGAGCCCCCACCCCCCGTCTAGTATATACAATATAAGGTATAAATAGATAAATAACCTTCCACCCCTGTGCCCACGGTGCCCACGTGCAGCTCCGGCCATGGGGGGCTCTGGGTGAGTAGGGGGGGCTTCCACCCTGCCCCCTCCTGCCCCCCCCAGCCATGAGGGCCACGTGCGAGAAGGGGGGGCCCTCACCCAGCCCCTCAGCCCCCCCTCAGAGCTGGGGGAGCCCCTCACCCCCCATCCCCACCTCACACCTTGGCACCTCCACGGCTGGGACCTCCTGGGGAAGGGGGAAGGCAACGAGGAGGGGGTGTCCCCGTGTCCCCCCCTCCAAGGGGTCCTGGCGAGGGGCCTCCTGCAGCCACATCTGAGGAGGAGGATGGGGAGAGCCCGAGGGAGAGAGGGAAAGACCCCCCCGGGGCAGGGGGGGCCGGGTTGGGGTGGTCATGGTGGGAAGCGGAGAGGAGGGGGAGAAGGGGAAGAGGGGGGGGGGGCTCACATTTAAAAACAACAACAAATAAAAGAAACAAATCTAACACTTAAAATGAGGTAGGTTTGGGTGCAGAAGCTCCTTGTGTCTGTCGGGGTCTTGGCCTCATCCCGCCGCCGCTCCGGGGTCTCGTCCACACGCACAAACAAAAAGAGATCAAAAGGAACCGAGCGAGCTCTGGCCGCCCTGGCAGGGGCAGGGCAGAGCCCGGATTGTCGAGCTCAAGGAGTCTGTGTTACCTTGGTAATTAGCGAGCAAATATTATTAGTTTCTAAAAAAAAAAAACCAAAAAAAAACAAAAAAACAAAACAAACAAAAAAACAAAAACAAAAAAAGAAAACAAAACAAAATAAAATAAAATAGAATAAAATAATCGTTATATCCGGGCCGGCTTCGCGCGCTGGGCCCGGCGCTGCTCCCCCGTGGCTCCCCCACGAGGGAGGCTGGCGGGGGGGGGAGGTGCTGAAGGGGGGGTTTCCGAGCCCCCCACTCCGTTTTTTTTGTTTGTTTGTTTGTTTTTTTCCTCGCAGGACGAAGCAAAGAAAACCCTGAGTTGCCAGTTCGTCCGTCCGTCTGTCCCGCCCGGGCAGGGCCGGCGGCGCCGCGGCCGCTCCTCCCTCTGTGCCCGGCCGCCCCTGGCACCTCCCGCGGCCCCGGGGAGGGGCTCGGCGAGGTCTCCCAGGCGGGGATGGCAGCCCCCAGCCCCGTTTTTCCCAGCTAGTTCATCCACTTCCTGCAATTCCAGGCTCCACAGTGGCAGGGGATCTTGTGCTGATCGTCCTCGAAGTCGAACTGGTAGTCGTAGGTGAGCTGAAAGGGGATAGTGGGGAGTCACCTATGGCTCAGAGATCAGTCCTGCCACCTCCAGCCCCTCCTTCCCGGCCCCCTCTGCCCACCCCCAGCCCCCCACTGACCTCCTCCCCCTTGGGGATGCGCCGGCTGGAGATGATGATGATCTTGTCCTCCTTATCGAAGGTCACGACTTCGGCCACACAGTTCGGGGCACACGAGTGGTTGATGTACCTGCAGAAGGTGGAAGGTTAGAACTGACCCAGGGGCAGGACACCACGACTCCCTGCAGAGGGGGTCCCACCACCCCGAACCCCCCCCCACGCTCACCTGGCCGGGCCCCCCGTCAGTGTGGCGTCAATGACGTGCTCGTTGTTGATGCGGAACATGTAGATGCCACGGTTCTGCCATGGGGGACAAGAGGGTGTCAGGGGGTGCACCGAGGTCCCCACATCCCACCTGAGTCCCTCCACATCCCACCCAGGTCCCCCTACATCCCGCCAGAGCCTTCAATGTGCCCCCCCAAGTGCCCCCCCACGTCCCACCAGAGCCCCACCTGCTCCTCGTAGATCTTCTCCCGCCGGTTGGCCACCTCGTTGCGGATGATGGTGCCGATGTACTCGATGACCATCGTGTGCTTCTCGATGTCCTTGGCCGCGTAGAGCCCCAGCCCCTGGATGCGGGAGCGCGCCAGGTACACGTTGTTCTTCCACTCCGTCTTCAGGCGCCGGTACTGGGAGGACTTGGAGTGCACGAACTGTTTGCTGTAGGGCGTGTTGGTCTCGCCCGTGAACGTGCTCTGGTAGGCCTTGGACATGCTTGTGCTGTTCAGGGTGTGGGGCCTGCAAAGGAGGGGGGATGAGAGGGGTCAGAGCAGAGGGATCCCCAAGGATCCTGGCTCTGCTGGTGGATCCCAGCTCGGTTAGGAAATCCTGGCTCTCCTGGTGGATCCCAGCCCCGCTTACCTCTTGTAATGGGTGAGGATCTTGGGCTCGGAGCGGGCGCAGCCGGTGGGGTTGATCATCAGCGGCAGCTCCATCAGGGGATGGCGCCCGTAGCGGAACAGGTAGTTCTGGCAGCTCTCGACGCCCGGCAGCTGCCGAGGGGACACGGAGGGGCTGGGGCTCGAGTGGCAGCACCAGGGCAGCCACCAGACCCTTCCCCAGCAGGGCTGACCCCCCCAGTATGGAGGGGAGACCCCCGTCCTCCCCTAGACCTACCGACTCGGCGATGCGCAGCACCGCGTGCACTGTGAGGCCGAAGAGCTCCTCACCCTTCAGGTACTCGGGGAAGAGCCGCAGCATGTCGGCCTCCTTCCTCATCATCGCCACCGGCTCGATGATCCGGTTCCAGACGGCTGCCGAGGGAAGGGAGAACCACAGAATGCCAGCATTAATCGGGCTGGAAAAGACCCCTGAGGTCACTGAGCCCAACCTGACTAGAACACTGAGTGCCAGGGGCTGGAGACGGGGACCCACTGGGGACCCCCCAGCTCGAGTCACCTCCCATCACCCCATCCTCTGTTGCATTCTGGTGTGGCTCAGCCACTGGGACAGGCACCAGATAACAACACCAGCGTTGGTCCAGCACCGACACCTCCCAACTCCTCACCCTGTGGCGAGGAGTCGGAGAAGACAAGATCCTCCAGGCCCTGCTCGATGACCTGCACGACGAACTCGGGGCGCCCGTTGTTCTCGCAGATGGTGCAGCGGTAGCAGCAGCGGCGGTTGTTGGTCCGCAGGCTCCAGTAGATGCGCGTGGCCTCGTAGCCCACGGGGTAGAGCGCGGTGACGCTGTGGAAATCGGCCATCTGGTGGGGCAGCAGCTGCCCGATGGCGTGGAAGACCAGCCCGCCCACGCGGAACATGTGGAGCCGCTCCCCGCGCTGGATGATGCTGGCGATCTGCTTCACCTCGTCCCGCTCGATGTACACGCGGCGGAACACGGTGAAGCTGCTGAGCTCCTGCTCGCAGGGCCCCTTCAGCTTGTGCAGCGGGCACAGCATGGTCTTGTCCTTGAAGAACATGCACTTGGCGCGGATGGCGCAGGCAAAGTGGTACACGCTGGGGCAGCGGATGCGGTTGCAGCTGTTGGTGGCGCCGGTTTTCTGGCACAGGGAGCACTTGGTGAGCAGCCCGCGGTGCAGGGCCACCTCCACGTTGATCAGGGCCCCGCCCTGCGTCTCGTACACCTCCGTGGACCACAGGGCGCAGTTCAGGTGGACCCAGAGGTCGAGGTCAAGGTTGAGCAGGCGGGCCGGCCCGTCCGTGGCCCCGTCGCCCTCCTCGTGGCAGAAGCAGCACTTGCGCAGGTCCCGCGGCACCTTCTCGGGGCGCAGGGTGGTGCCCAGCTTGTCGATGAACTCGGCAATCTCCTTGTCGCCGTCGCGCTTGGCCCCCCCTTTCTGGATGGTGACGAGGAAGCGCAGCCGTTTCCAGCGCACCCCCTTCCACTTCTTCAGCCGCGGCCGCGCCTCGTCCCCGTCCTCGGGCGGCCGCGAGCGCGGCTTGAAACGGGGCGGCGAGTGGGGGGCTGCGGCCCCTTCCTCCTGGGGGGCCGGGGAGGGGGCTGGCGGCAGCGGCGACGGCGGGGCCGGGGCGGCCTCGTGGGTCACCTCGGGGTCGGGGACCCTGGTGGGCTCGGCGGGGCTGGACGGGGAGGGGACGGAGGGGGACAGGGGGGGCGAGGGCTCCTGGGGCATGACGGAGAGCTGCCGTACGTCCAGGTTGGACACGTTGTTGACGTAGCAGTGGTGAAGGGTCTTCTCGGGCACGGGGCTCTCCTGTGGAACGGGGAGGGGGTCACGGGTCAGAGGGTGGCAAGAAGGGGTCCTTGGACCTGCAGGGACCCCAGACCACCCCACACGCTCTCAGCCCTGCAAGGACCACCTCCAGCCCTTCCTGCAAGACTCAGCACTTCTCCATGGGGAGACCCAGCCACCCAGGAAACCCCCTGCGATCATGGGGGGACCTACAGGGAGCACCACGCACCTCTACATGGTCACACCTGGTTCCAAAGGGCTCCCCCCCCACTCCTGCGTCCCAACACAGTCACAGCCCCACAGGTACCCCAGTGGACCCCCACAGCCACTGACCTGTCTGAGCAGCGTCAGGAGGTCCAGCTCGCCCTTGAGGCTGTAGCCGGGCAGCACCGCGTCGAACTGCTTCAGCCACTCGGAGCTGCTGTCCGGCACCTTCCCAGCCAGCGCCTTCTCCTTCCCTCCCAGCATCCCTGCAAGAGGGATGCACGGCCCATCACGGGGTGGGTCCCAGCCTGGGGCTGCAGGGAGCCCTTGAGCACCAGGAGGACACTCACCAGCCATATCGGCCTCCACCTTCTTGGCCTCGACCACGGCCGCTCGCACGGGGCCGTCAGGGAACAGCACCTCGTAGGAGCTGGGGATCTTCACGCTCAGCAGCTCAGCCATGGCCACCATCACACCGTTGAGGTTCTGGGATAGAGGGGGAGGATGGGATGGGTCCAGGGTGCCCCAGATGCCACCATGTGAGGTCACCACTGGGACCCCGGAGGATCTCCCATCCCCCTGCCCCCTCGCTCACCTTGGCGGCCGCCGCGGACACCGTCAGCATGACAGAGACCTCGCTGCTCTTGCCCTTCTCCCATGGCGCTCCTGGGCCTGCGGCCCCCACCTTCCCTGGGGGGGCCCCAAAGGGCTCCGCGGCCTCGTAGGGTTTCGTGTCAGGGAACACTGGTGTGGGGACAGGGAAGGGTCAGATCCATCACCCCCCAGACCCATTTCCCTCAGCCCACACACCCCAAGGACCCTTCGCTTGCCCCTCAAAATCCCAGGAACCCCCTCGTGCCCCACCCATATCCCTTCCTACCCAACACATGCCCTCCAGACCCCTTCCCTGCACTGTACGTCCCACTGAACCCCTCCTGCTCGGTCCATATGGACCACACACCACTCCTGCCCTGGTCCATGCACCCTCCCCAGCCCATCCCACCTGGGATACTGGCCCGGGGGATGATGGGGATGATGGGAGACAGCACACGCTCCTCCAGCTCTGGCTTGGCCTCGCTGAGCAGCGGGAACCGGAGCAGCTCCTCGCCCAGGACGCTCTCGGGGGACGAGGCAGGGACGATGCTGTCGGGGGAGTCGCTCTCGTCGTCGCTCTCCATCCTGAAGGGGAGGAGGTGTCAGGGGCCACAGGGGCTGGTGTCACCCCCGGGGGGGCTGGTGTCACTCAGGGGAGGTCACCATGGCCAGGGTCTCACCTGACGTCCTCGGTCTGGTTGTGTGGAGGGGTGGGCAGAGCTGCCAGCAGGTCCAGGCTCTTCACCTCCACGGCCGGTGTGTCTGTGTGGAAGGGATGGGTGTCACAGGGGGGGTGACAGGTGGTGGCAGGGACTCTGTGCCACCCCTGGGCTGGCCATGCTTACCTTTCTGGCCGTGGGGCTCCCGGGCTGGGTCAGTGTCCTTGGGCTGCTCACCCAGCTCCTCGGGGGCCGTGACACCGTTCACCATCTTCTGCTGCACAGAGGGAGGGGGCGTGGGGGGCAGCGAGGAGGGTGGCGTGGGCGGGTTGCTGAGGTTGTTCTGCGGGGAGACAGCAGGGTGAGCGTGGTGGGGTGGTCCAGGACCCCCGGACTGAGGGGACGACAGGTGAAGAACCCCTTCCCTCACCTTGGTGAGCAGCTGGGAGTAGTAGTCGGGGACGCTGTCGAGCACGGCGCTGCCGAAGGCGCCCCGCAGTTGGCTCTTGCCGTTGATGGGGCTGCTGCCGAAGGGCGCGAAGAGGCTGAAGTTGGCTGTGATGGTCGGCTCCGTCAGCGGCAGCAGCGACAGCTCCTGGGGGCAGAGCGGTGAGGGGGGCACAGAGGCAGAAAGGCAGCCCCCACCATCCCCCAGCCCGCGGCCGTACCTGTTTCAGCTGCCTCATGAGGGCCTCGCCGGGACGCAGCCCCTCGTCCTTCCGCAGCTTCTTGCGGGACGCCGGGATCCGCTCGTTGCCTTTCTGCACCCGCTTGGGCTTGGTGGGTGCCGGCTTCCTGGCGATGGAGGGGTCCTGAGGAGGGAGAGGGGCGTGTGAGCCGTGCTGGCGCAGCCCCGTGCCCATCATCCCCCCAGCCTGGCCCGCCCCACTCACCTCCCGGCCCAGCAGCAGCGGTTGTGGCCGCGGCTCCATCCCGGCGCTCCGGCTCTCCGTGTGCCCGTTGAGCTCACCCGGGCTCTGTGCCGAGAGCTGCACGTTCTTGGCCCGCAGCAGCTTCTGCAGCAGCAGGTGCCCAGCCTCGGAGCGCCCGCCCGGGGCCAGCAGGCTGTTGGCTTGGCCGGCCCCAGGGTCCCCGTTGGCCTCCGGTTTTGCCGTCTCGTCTCCGTCCAGCTCACACTGCGCCGCTGCCGCCGCCTCCTCCTTCGGCTCCTGCTTCACCAACACCTGGGAGCCTCCGCCTGCCGTGGGGGCCCCCTCCGGCACTGCCCCGTTGATGTGGATCTCGCTGGGGTCAGCTGGGTCCACCCCGGGTGCCTCGGGGTCCCAGGGGCCGTGTGCTGGGTCAGGGAGGGCAGTGCTCGGCGTGGGCGTCAGCCCCGGCTCTGCAGGCACCGCGGGGCTGGGGGTCGAGGCCGGGACCCCCGGTGACGTCTTCTTTGGCTCTTGGGGGCTCTGCTCGGGGCTGACCAGGTGCTGGGGGGCACAGCCCAAGGGAGAGGGGGCTGGTGGAGTGGGGAGGCGGACAAGGCCGGGCTGGGGGCCACGGGCAGCCAGGGCTGCCTGCACCAGCTCTGCCAGGGGCTGCTGGGGGGGCTGCCCTGCCTCTGCTGGGGTGCCCGGCCGGGGCTGGAAGAGGGACCCCACGGGGCGAGGGGGCTGGCGGGCGGCGGGCGAGCCGTAGTCCGGGGCCTGCCCGGGGAAGGGGCCGGGGGTCCGGAGCGCCTGGCTCTGCTGCAGGAGGCTCTGCTGGTGCCGCTGCACCAGGAGGGCCTGGAGCTGCTGCTGCTGCTGCGGCGTCAGGTGCCGCAGCTGCGGGTTCTTGGCCAGGACACCCTGGAGCTGCGCCCGGATCTGGCCCATCACCGGCCCCGGCACCTGCCCCAGGAGCCCCGTGGGGAGCGTGGCCATGCCCGGTGCTGGCCCTGCTTTGTGCTGCCCGGGGCTCTGGAGCCGCGGGGGCTGGGGCTGCCCCTGCAGGGCCCCTGCCGGCCCCTTGCCCGGCTGCTCCGGGGGCCGTGGCGCTGGCACCATGCCCTGTGCCGGGCCAGGCCCGCAGCCCAGCGACGGCTCCGCCACCCCGGCCGTGTCCCCGTGCTGCTGGGACAGCTCGGGGTGGGCGGCCCCGGGGCTCTGCAGCGGCGGGGCGAGCAGGGTACCCTGCTGCCCAGGGGCTGCCCGCAGCATTCCCGGCTGTGGGGAGCCCAAGAGGAGCTGCTGGCCCTGCCCCAGCTCAGCCTGGTGCTTGGGGGCCACGGCCTCTGGGCCCCCCAGCCCTTGGGGGTTGAGGGGTCCCTGCTGCTCCCCGTGCAGCTGCCCCCCGCTCTCGCCGCCCTCGGCGGGCAGGGCGCTGCCATCCACCCCCGCGGGCTGGTCCTTGGCAGCCAGGACCGCCGGGGCCGGCTGCATTCCCTGACTCAGGTGCAGCACAGAGGGGGCCTGGCCCCCCGCCCCGTGCTGCGGAAAGTGCTGGATCGAGGGCTGCCCCTGGCCCAGCCCCAGGAGGCCTGGCTGGGCGGCCGCCGAGTTCTGCTGCTGCTGCTGCTGCTGCTGCGGGGTCAGCAGTGCCCGCGACTGTCCCAGCTGCTGGGACAGCACGAGCCGGTGGCTCAGCATCCCCGGAGTCTGCGGTGCCAGCTGGGGCGAGCCCAGCACCCGCTGCTGGTGGGGGGCCAGGAGCACCTGGCGCTGGGGCGGGGGGTGGCCCAGCACGGGCTGGGGCTGCAGCCCCGGTGCCGGCGCGTGGCCCAGCACGCCCGGCTGCTGCTGGGGCGAGAGCTGCTGCACCAGCAGGCTCTGCTGGCTGCCCAGCAGCCCCCCCGCCTTCGGCACCATGGGCTGAGCCCCTGCGCCGGGCTGGGGGGTCGGGGGCTGCTGCTGCTGCCCCAGCAGGCCGGGCTGCCCCGCCATGGCCGTCGGCTGCATCGGGGCCTGGCCCAGCACCCCTGGCTGCTGCATGGACGCCTGGCCCATCATGCCTGGCTGCTGCATCGACGTCTGCGCCATCACACCTGCCTGTTGCATTGAAGCTTGTCCCATCACGCCTGGCTGCTGCATGGACGTCTGGGCCATGATGCTCTGGGGCTGCATGGAGCTCTGTCCCATCACACCGGGCTGCTGCATGGACGCCTGACCCATCATGCCCTGTTGCTGCATCGCCGTCTGTGCCATCACACCGGGCTGCTGCATGGCTGCCTGGGCCATCACACCCTGTTGCTGCATGGATGCCTGTCCCATCACACCGGGCTGCTGCAGCGATGCCTGTCCCATCACACCAGGCTGCTGCATGGAGGCTTGACCCATCACACTCTGCTGCTGCATCGACGCTTGTGCCATGACACCTGATTGCTGCAGTGACGTCTGTCCCATCACACCTGATTGCTGCATTGATGCCTGTCCCATCACACCTGATTGCTGCATGGACGCCTGTCCCATCACTCCTGGCTGCTGCAGGGAGGTCTGTCCCATCACACCCTGTTGCTGCATGGACGCCTGTCCCATCACCCCTGGCTGCTGCAGCGACACCTGTCCCATCACACCTGGTTGCTGCATGGAGCTCTGTCCCATCACGCCCGGCTGCTGCTGCTGCTGCAGTGACACCTGTCCCAGCATGTTCTGCTGCTGCTGCAGCTTCTGCGCCAGCTGCATCCTCTGGAGCTGCCGCTCCTGCATCAGGCGGCTGTCAGCAGCCAGCCCGCGCAGCGCGGGGTTCCCGGCGAAGAAGGCGCTGGAGGAGCCAGGTCCCGGGGCGTTGCCCATGGCCTGCTGCCCCATGAAGGACAGGCCCTGCTGCACAGCCATGGACACGCCGCCCTGTGACAGGCGCAGCCCCCCGGGCTGCCCTGGCTGCTGCCCCAGGCCCTGCGCTCCGACCACGGCCCCCCCGGGCTGCTGCACCCCGTGTGCCGAGAGGAGCTGCCCCGGGAGCTTGGACATGAGGCGGGGGCTCTGCGAGGGGCTCAGAGCCATCACGGCCGAGGCCTGGTGCTGGTGCTGCTGCTGCTTGTTGCGGTACTCAGCCATGAGGTTGGTGTGTTCCTTCTGCTGCTTCCGCACCTGCCGGGGACAGCGGGGCATCAGCGCCAGGGACATCGTGTTTGCACCGAGGACGAGGTTCCCACCCACACGCAGGGTCCTACCTGGTCCAGCTGCTTCTGGATCTTGCTCTGCTGCTCCGTCACCAGCTTCAGCTTCTCGGCGTCGGCCTCGGGGAACTCCCTGCCGGCCTTCTTGGCCGTGCGCTGCTTGGCACAGAGCGCCTTGCGGGACTTGCGGTGAGCCCCGATCTGCTCCTCCAGCACCTTCAGCTGCATCTGCAGCAGCTGCTGCGTGTGGAACAGCCACTCCTCGTACTGCCGCTGGTCGGCCTCGTCTGTGGGACGGGGAGAGGGCTCATCAGCAGGGATTCCAGGTCAGCAGGCACTCCGGGTCAGTGTGGACCCAGCTTGCAGGGGCAGGGTGAGCCCAACCACCCCAACCCCTCCCGTACTCACTGATGACACCCTGTGCAAAGGTGGGGGGGTTGGGGCGAGCCTGGGTCGGGTCTGTGCTGCTTCGCTCCTGCCAGAGAGAGGAGTGTTGGGGACATGTGCCTCCCTGTGCCCTCCCCTCCCCAGGGAGACAGAAACCCACCAGCCAGAGTGGCTCCAGCCTGGCAGGGTCCTGAGCACCAAGCCAGGCAGACCTAAGGGGCCCCTGTATTCCCCCACCCCAGACACTCCACTCACCTGCCCGCTCCCTGCCAGCAAGTGGTTCTGCATCTCAGAGACTGCTGGGCCCCCCGAGAGCCGCTGGGCCAGCAGGGAAACCTGTTGCCTTTGGGGGGAACACAGAGACGTGAGTGAGCTGCAGCCAAGGCACCCCATCCATCCCTGCCTATGCCCCATGGACCTTTGTGCCCCTTACCTGTTCATGCCTGGGGCCACCCCAATGCTGCCCTGAGCCATCACCTTCTTGATGCCCTTCAGTGCCACCATCTTGGCCTTGGCAATGGGGTCCATGATGTCCTCAGCCGCAAACTTGTCCAGGTCTGCCGGAAGATAGGTCACAGCACACTCAGCCCTACGCCCCCCACCCAAAACAGCTCCACGCCTCCCCAGACCACCACCCACAGGCCCTACCTGTGTCTGGGAAGAAGCTGTTGGCCAACTGCTGCTGCATGACAAGCTGGGGGGGCTTCAGGCCCAGGCTGGGGGGCTGCACCCCAGCCATTGGCTTCTGCACCAGCACCTGCTGCTGGCTCTGCTGCGGCTGCCCCAGGGCCACCTGCACTCCATGGGGGGACGCCAGCACGTGGGGCTGTCCGGAGGCCATGCCCATGTGGGGGGCCAGCGCCGGGCCCTGCTGGGGTGCGCCGAGCCGGGGGGGCTGTGGCGGCATCAGCGGCGGCCGGGCCACCAGCCCCAGCTGGAGGGGGGCCTGAGGGGTGCCCAGGCGGGGTGGCTGCCCCTCAGGGGGCTGCCCAGCCGCCCCCGTGTGCAGTACGGGGTGCCCCGGGGCCGGTAGGTGGGGGGTGCCGCGGGGCAGGTGGGCCGACATCTGCTGCTTCTTCTGCAGCTCCTTCTTCTCGTGCTCCAGCAGGTCCTCGATGAGCAGAGGCAGCTCGCTGGCCACCAGCGAGCTCTCCATCTTGTCCAGGTCATCCGCCGGCGAGTGCCGGGCGCTGCCCAGCCCCAGCGCTCCGCTGTCCAGCTCAAACTTTTCCAGCAAGGGGTTGCTCTGGCTGCCCAGCTGGGCAGGGGCCAGCCCGCGGCCGGGGGCAGCGTAGGGGTCCTTGTCTGGCACGGGGACACCGGCGTGGCCGCTACTGGGGAACTGAGTCAGGCCGAGACGAGCGGGGCCAGCGCTGGGGCTCAGGAGGGTCTGGCTGGGTTTGAGGCTCAGCCCCAGCGAGGCAGAGATATTGTCGGTGCCCTGCAGCCCCTCTGACTTGATGGGCACCGGGAGCCGCTCAGGGCCAGTGAACTGGCAGGGCGAGGTCTTCAGGCAGCCATCCTCCAGCTTGGGCTTCACCTCGGTGGGCAGCGAGCCGGGCTTTGCCTCCGCACCCTGCACCTTGAAAGCTGGGTCAGGGGCCAGCACGGTGCCCATGGGGCAGGGAGAGGGCCCCAAGCTCGCACTGGGCACCAGCCCTTCCTTGGGCACCTCCTGGTTCTCTGCAGATGGGGTCACATCTTTGCTGTCCCCAGGGTCGGGGAGCTTCAGGGTGGGCGCTGGCGGCTCCGTCTTGAGCTGGGCCTCACGCTCGGCTTTCTCGTTGGCCGACTCGACCAGGCGCAGGTGCTCGTTGAAGATGTCCTTCTTGTCCCCGGTGTCCAGCTCGGGGTCGGTGTAGGCCAGCAGGTCAAACTCGTCACCGTTCAGCAGGTCATCGAGGTGGGGGTCTGCGGTCTCCAGGCTGTCCAGGTTGTCCAAGTCATCGTCCCCTTTGGCCACATCCGGATCCAGGCTCAGGTTGGCCAAATCGTCGTCATCTTCCAAGTCCTTGTGGGAGCCGAAGTCATCGTCCAAGTCGGGCTCCACGGGCACCTCGCAGGGCAGCCGTGCCCCCTCCAGGCTCAGGTGGCTCTTCCCTGGGGCTGGCGCCGGGTCTGGAGCGGGGCCATCCTTGGGACCCTCAGGGCGCAGGGCAGTGCCCGAGGACAGCGGGCGGGGGGGCACGTGCTGCAGCTCCAGGGTGGGGGCCGGCAGTGGCGGGGGGGCCGCCTTGGCGTGGGGCTGCTGGTGGCTGTTGCCCATCTCTGCTCCCTGCGGGGACGCGGGCGGGAGCGGCGCCGGAACCTTCTGGGGCGGCAGCGCCTGCATGGGCACGACGGGGGTGCAGAGGGCCTGGGGGGTGCCCTCCTCCCCGGGCAGGAAGAAGCGAGGCCGGGGTGCCTGGGGGGCGAAGGGGGACCCCATGACCCCCCCAGGTCCCTTCTGCACGTTGTGCCGCAGCTCGATGAAGGGAGCGCCCAGGGTGGCGGACAGCGAGGGCACGGCCTCGGCGGGGGCGGGCAGGCGGGTGCCCAGGCTGCCCATGGGGGTCCCGGCGGCCGGGGGCGCGAAGCGGGAGGTCACAGGGAGCCGCAGGGCCGCCACAGCCGCCTGCTGCTGCTGCTGCTGCCAGAGGTGCTGCTGCTGCTGCTGCTGTTGCTGCGGGGATGGCGCTGGGAAGACCCCGCGGGGGTAGAAGGCCTGGGGGGGCCCCACCGTTGCCCTGGAAGACACCGTGATGTTGGCACCGGCTCAGCACAGTCACAGCCTCGATGCACCGAGTTCCACCCCCCTTGGACCACGCCCAGCACCCAAAAATGCACAGCCACCCCGCCCCTCCAGGGCAATCCCCACAGACTGGGGACACACAGCCCACCAGTGATCCCTGCAGGCTCCCACCCCGCCATGCTGACCCCACCACCCTGCCACCGAGCACCCACCGCCCGTTGATGTCCAGCGTGGCTGGAGTGGCCGCGGGTGGGGGCCGGGAGAGCCTCTCATCCTGGGGAAACGCTGCCTGCACCATGACAGAGCCGGGCAGCTTCCCAGCGCCAGCCGCCGTGGCCAGCGTCCCGAGGAGCCCCTTGTCCTGCGAGAAAGAACGAGATGGAGTCACCCCTCCATCAGCTGGTTCAGCCCCCTGACCGTGCCGGGGCCCAGCTCTCCCACCTGTGCTGGCTGGTAGGGGGCCATGCCCCGGCTCAGCTCGAAGCCCTGCCCGGTGGCCTCGGGGGCCCAGGCGGCGGGTGAGGAGGTGGCGGCGGCGGCCGCGCTCTCCTTCTCCTGCCGCAGGCTGTTCCGCTGGATCTGCTGCCGGATGAGCAGCTCCCGGAGCCGCTGGCGCTGGGAGAAACAAGTGTTAGAGCCCAGAGCGAAACCAGCGAGACCTCGGCGGCCATCAATGCATCCATCAAAGGTCCCAGTTCCTCCCTCACATCCCCATCCAAACCCACACAGATGCACTGGGATTACCAGCGAGCCCTCACCTGCCGCTGCTTCTCCAGCTCCGACTGGCTCATGGTGCCGAGGGCCCCGTCCTGGCCGCCGGGCAGC